TCTAGGCACAGCACCACTTCTGGTTTACTAGTGGTCAATTGGAAATTCATGGAATTTCCTGCATGGGCTGGCTTTGAACGGTGATCCTCAGATCTCAGCCTTCTGAGTAGCTAGGATTACAGGTGTGAGCCACCAGTGCCTGGCTTCAAAGTCACTTTTACTAAGAACACTTTTCACCTACCAGATTGCCAATATAAAATTCAACAGGTGGTGCAAACATTGTAAGATGGTTTTCTGTGTCATGTGACTGGACCAAAAATAAAAATGCCCATACTTTTGATTCAGGCATAATTCAAACTCCAACCAAAAAATATGGCTCTTGTTAACTGAACAATGTGATTAATATTTGTATTTGTACTTTGAGGGTAATTGTTTCTTTATGCTTTATAACTGACTATGCCTATATCATTTGAACAGATGAAATACTGTAATGAATATATCTGTGCATAATTACATTGCATGTGTTAATGAGCTCAATTCCATAGTTCTAAAGTTCCTTTCAGTCTCTGAAAGGTTGTGGAAGAAAAGAAACACATATAATGGAAGGAACCAGTATGACTTGCTAAAAGCTTAGACTACTGCCTGTGTCACACAATAATACTGGAAGCCAGTAGAAAGCAACATGTAATCCCCAAAGACCTCATTCTCAACAGAGGGTGAGGGAGAAGGAGCAAAGTGCTGATTCAGGGACCAGACAAAGGCGTTCCCGGCCAGGCTCCACTCCCTTGGCCCACTCTGCTTCAATCCCCATTGAGAAGCAGGCAGCTCAGTGGTAGAATACTTGCCTAGCATATGTGAGGTCCTAAGTTACATCCCCACTACTACAAAACATATATATATGTATATGTATACACATACATACATATAGAGGGGGGGGAGAGAGAAAGAATGTTTTATAGGTGGGCACTGGTAGCTCACATCTGTAATCTAGCTACTGAAGGAGAATGAGATTGGTGATCACAGTTCAAAGCCAGCTCTGTGAGAAGTTTATCTTCAAAAAGCCAAAGTGAAGTAATGACTCAAACAGTAGAGCTCTATCCAGCTTTGAACTATAAAGCTGTCCTGGGACAGCACCCAGGACCAGCACAAAAAAAAAAAGTGTATGTGTATACCATAAAAATAGAAGCAGCATTAATATAAAATATTATGCTGTTCAGGTAACTGAGGCAAGAGGGCCTTGAGTTTGAGGCCAGCCTGGGCTACACAGTGATATCCTATTTTATTTTTTTAATTTATTTTTTGTCAGTCATGGGGCCTGAACTTGGCTTGGACGCTGTTCCTCAGCTCTTCAGTTTAAGGTTAGTGCTTTACCACTTGAGCCACAGCACCACTTCTGGCTTTTTCTGCTTATGTGGTGCTGAGGAATCGAACCCAGGGCCTCATGCATGTGAGGCAAGCACTCTACCACTGAGCCACCTCCCCAACCCTGATACCCTATTTAAAAGAGGAAAAAAAGGGGGGGACTTTGGACAAATCACTAATTCTTTCTGATCCTTAAATTCCCCATTTACGAAAGACATAATACTCATGAAGGCTTGGCATCAAAAAAACACTACATGATCTATTATAGGTAACATGTGAGATATTCTAACACTTTTTTAAACAGTAGAGACAGGGGAGGGCATGTTGGCACACACCTATAATCCCAGCTACTCAGAAGATAGGAGTATTCTAGTTCAAGGACAGCCTGGGAAAAAAAGGAAGTGAGACCTTACCTCAAAAACAAGCCAGGAATGGGGGTATATGCCTATAATCCCATCTAGGCAGAGGTAGGTAGAGGTAAGAAGGTCTTAGCAAGGCTGACTCTAAGCAAAAACTCAAGAACTTACTTGAAAAATAAAGAAGAGGGGCTTAGGAGTGTGGTTCAAATGGTAAAGTACAGCCAAGGGAGTGAGCAGACAAGTGGAGTGAGCACTAGGCCTCGCATTCAAACCCTAGTACTGGCAACAACAAAAACAAAAATAAAAACCAAAATCAACCAATGCCCTCCCCCCCACAAAAACAGAATAGAGACGTAAGAGCTTATTAATATTATAACCAGGAATACCATTTTAATATTAACTAGAAAATAGAAACTGCAAGCATATATTATAGTAAACTTTAGTTTCCAGAATGAAGACTTTTTTTGGTGGTATTGGAGTTTGAACCAAATGCAGACTTTTTAAGCCAGAGATTACCTTTATTTGTAAGACCCTTAAATTTTACGCTGGAAAAAAGTAGTTAGAACAGCCTCCTCCATATGAACCACATATGCTATCTGTGAATCACTTTTAACTCCAAATTAGTAGGATCCAAATCAGTAGGGCTTTCCTACAGTGAAATTTGTTTAAGCAAACATCTGCTGGTTCCCTGAAAAGTGATTTTTTTTTTCTTCCCAACAGGTGGCCTTTGAATTTGTGGACCAAATCCATACACAGAAAAATGTAGCCTTTGAGGCTGAGGTAAAGTCCTTGAGAGCTTGGGACTTCCCTCTGCTGGGGAAAGAAATGTACAGCAGAAAAAAGATGGACTCTGGGCCAGTTAAGTGCCCAGGTTTAATGACTGTGACAATGACTGCTTCATCACTGTCAAGATGCTACTGATTGAAAGAACACATTTTTCCTGTTACTAATATCCTTGATCAAAGCATAAAAGGAAGCATATGTTTTAGTTGAATCAAGGCCCATTTTCTGTTTTCTCAATTACTCATTTTCCAGAGAAGATGAAGAGGGAGGCACAAAATGCAATCCCCAACCCATAGATTCTGTCCTTAATGTAACCCAAGACTGCCCCAGTGACCTTGGGGAATCACTGAGGTTGGATACTTGCTCTAGTACCTACATGTAGGATAGTCAAACCCCGCACCCCAAGATCTGGTGACTACTCAGCAGACATTAAATGAGTCACCAAATGATTCAACTGACTCTGGTATTTCTACTGGCCTGTCCAGTGTGACAAGGTACAGCTTTTTCTCTAATTCAATGACAGGCCAGCTACTCTTCCTGGCTTTGATCTAAAATTGTATTAAGCTATCTAAAATGAAGTGAGCTAAGAAGACTATCTTATGAATGTTTCTAATACTGTAGCGATAGCTTTATAAAAACCTATAATGAAAATGAAAAATAAACTGAAAAGATTATGTTTTAGAGTGGCAAGTCATCAAAGTGTCTTAATTCTGGAGCCATCTTCTTATGCTTTAATGAAAGGCAGGAAGCAAGGGAACCAAAGAAAGTAGCATGGCTGGAGCTGGTGGCTCACACCTGTAATCCAAGCTACTCAGGAGGAGCGAGGTTCAAAGCCAGCCCAGGCAGGAAAATCTCCAACAGAAAACTGGAAGTGGCACTGTGACTCAAAGTGCTGGAGTGCTACCCTTGAGCAAAATTGCACAGGGACAGCACCTAGGCCCTGAGTTCAAGCTCCATGACCAACAACAACAAAAAAAGTAGTATGTGATTAAAGTAGGAAATCCAAGGGACATGAGGCACTGTGGGCTGATCCTCTATTGTGTGTGTGTGTGTGTGTGTGTGCGCGCGCGCGCACGCGCGTGTGCGTGTGTGTGTGTGTGTGTCCAGTCCCTGGGTTTGGACTCAGGACCTTGGCACTGTCCCTGAGCTTCTTTTGCTCAAGGCTAGCACGCTACCATTTGAGATACAGCTCTACTTCTGGCTTTTTCTGTGTACGTGGTACTGAGGAATCGAACCCAGGGCGTCATGCATGCTAGGCAAGCACTCTACCACTAAGCCACATTCCTAGCCAGCCCTCTATTCTTCTTATAGGAACAGAGGAGAGGGCCAGGTTGAATGGCTCACCATTGTAATCCCAGCTACTTGGGAGGTGGATCATTAGGATTATAGTTCAAGGCCAGCTAGGGCAAAATAGACACACACACACACACACACACACGCACACACACACACACACACACACACACACACACACACACACCTCAATCAGCCAGGAGTGGTGGCACAAGCCTGTCATCCTTGCTACATGGGAAGCAAAGGTAGGAGGACCATAGTCCAAGGAGCACAAAAGTGAGAAAGTAACTAAAAATGGGCTAGGTAGATGGCTCAAGAGGTAGAGCACTTGTCTAACAAGTGTGAGGCCCTAAATTCTAGCCCCAGTATTGGGAAAAAAAAAAAAAAAAAGACCAGTCACCAGTGGCTTAAACATGTAATCCTTGCTTTAGGAAGCTGAGATCTGATGATCATGGTTCAAAGCCAACTGGGGCAGGAAAGTCCCATGAGACTCTTATCTCCAATAAGCTACTCAGAAAAAAGCTGGAAGAGGTGCTGTGGCTCAAGTGGTAGAGTATTCGCCTTGAAAATAAAAATACAAAGAGGCTCGAGGACAGCACCTAGGCATTGAGTTCAAGCCCCAGGACCAGCCCCCCCCCCAAAAAAAAAAAAAAACCAGGGTGGACATAAATACATGATGATGCCCATTCTCAGTCTGCAGTGATGAAATATAAAAGTGGATTAACTTTAGGCTACCTGGAAACTCAGCTGGGCTCAGTGGGCCCAAAGCCAACAGTGGCAAGCAGGTAAACACCAGTGGAGCTGGTGAGGGACTTGTGAGGGTGTGGCTTCTATGAGAAGATATAAAGGTGTACCTCACACAGGGCAGCTGGCGCTCAGAAAGGAAGTCTAGAGGGAGGACCTGAACCACACTGATCTAAAAGCCACATTTGGCCATAAGAACAGATCATAAATTCATTTTTCCTGGTTAAGAAAAAGAAGTTGGCATGGTCAATGTAATGAATCACATATGCATAATGAGATTACACAGAAATTTCATCTTTCTGAGTGAATTCACTCAGAATTCTAATTCATTAGAGTAATACTTACTATTTGTCTAAACACGCACACACACACACACACTCGCACGCGCATGCACGAGTACATTTCCACAGAAGTTGGACAGCCACAGCACTCAAGTCCAATAGTCTCATGACATCTCAGGAAGTCATCCTGTGACAGGAGCTAATGTCCAGGAAGAGGGCATTTTCCCCTTGCGCCTACCTTGGCCTGGACAGCATAGGAAGCCAGGAGTACAGAAGCCTCGGGAGGGCAGTAGATCTTTTCATCTAAAATCTGCTTCTTCACCTGAAAGGGGCAACAAGGGAGACATGAGACTGCATGCGTGCAAGTGCGCTGTGCAGACTGCTCACGGCAGATGGCTGCAGGGTGTGCTAAATGAGAGATGCCAAAGCAGCTTGTTCGTGGATTTTCTGACAAAGGGGACCATTTTTACTGTGGCAGACCAGTTGAGAGTTCAGTTTCTAAGAAGTTACACTGGCTCTGCATGAAAACCCTCTTAGCGATCAAGATTGGAGAGTAAGCATGATCTTGGCCCCAACAGAGGTTGACATCTGGGCTGTGACAGCTGTGAGCTAGAGAAGTATCAGGAGTGCTCGGAGGGTGACTAGCCTCAGCCCCCACGGAGCACTCACAACATCGGAGGAAACAGAGTCTACTTTCAAGTCTTCACACACAAAAGCCACCAAGGCCACTGAGCAATGACTGCAGAAAAACACCAGCACTTTCAATGTGCTGCTGTAAGGAAAAAGGAAGCAATAAAATTTGATCGATTCAACTTTTAAGTACACATGAGGTCCAGGAAATATAATTCCAAGCCCCATAATGTTGAATTAACATATCTCATTGCACTTAATTTTGTAGAATGGTGCGGCATATGATTTTCCAGCCACAGAGGCAAGAGAGCTGCAGGAAGTGAATGCATACCGGAGTAAACACCACAGCAAGGCCAGCTCCTGTCACATGTCACTAGTAGTAAATGGTGCCATGCTCAGACCCCAAACACCCCAATAGCTCAAGGAAAATCAAGCCAAATTCACAAGAGAGAAAGGCACTTTTCAATAATGTTAAGATCTTCTGCGCCCAGGCAGTCTCTAGGTGGCTTCTTTGAACTCATGACTTCTTCCCAGAAGAAGACTGACTTTACTTTCTTAGAAAGCAAAATCTGAGAAATTTTGAAGCAGAGCAACTTTCAAATCCCTTGGTTTCTTTTCAAAGAGAAAAATTTTATTTTGTTTTGTTTTTTTGGTCCGGTCATGGGGCCTGAACTCTGGGCCTGGGCGCTGTACCTCAGCTCTTCAGCTCAAGGCTAGCGCTCTACCACTTGAGCCACAGCACCACTTTCGGCTTTTTTCTTTTTGCTTATGTGGTGCTGAGGAATCGAACCCAGGGCCTCATGCATGCAAGGCAAGCGCTCTACCACTGAGCTACCTTCCCAGCCTCAAAGAGGAAAATTTTAAAAAGGCACATTATAAAAAACTGAAAGGTTACCAGGTACCTGTGGTTCATGCCTATAATCCTAGCTACTCAGGAGGCTGAGATCTAAAGATCACTGTTCGAAGCCAGCTGGGTCAAAAAAGTACCCATGAGATTCTTACCTCCAATTAACCACTCGAAAAACAGGAAGTGGAGCTGTGGATCAATTGGTAAAGTGCTAGCCTTCAACAGAAAGAGGTTCAAGGACAGCACTCAGACCTTGAGTTCAAGCCCCACAATAGACAAAAAAAAAACCCAAAAACCTGAAAAGGTACCCTTTGACCTGAAAATGAAGAGAAATTTGTCTTATACTATGTGTATGTATATATGAATATCCAGATCTATGCACATACACTTATATTTCCTTTTATATAAACATATACATGAACTATATATAGTCTATAATATATACTCTGTTCATTATATAATATATTATGAACTATATATATAGGTGACTGTGTATACATACACATCTATGTGTATGTAATTAACTGCTAACACTATTATTAGGTATTTAATTAGGTATAGTGGTGCACACCCATAATCCCAGCACTTGGGTAGCTGCGGCATGAGGATCAAGAGTTGAAGTCCAGCCTGGGCTATTACATAGCAAGATTTTTGTTTCAAAACAAAACAATGCGATATTTTTTTTAAAAAAACATTCTTTAGGGCTTTTTATTACATCTCACTGTTTGCTGAACACAATACACTGAACCTCAAATTAATTATGAGGACTGTGGAGAAACCACACACCTGCTCCTGGGAAATCAAGCAATGAACAGTGGGTACCTTGGTGTATACAAGCAGCCCCAGTGCTGATCACTGCAAGTAGCCAGGAAATTAGAGAAGTGCTTTAACCAAGCAGTACACACATAAAGATGACGAAAGTTTGTGTCCTCAGGTGAGTCCTCTTCCCTGAAACACTAGGTGGTCATCCTACAATTATGGGTCCTCTAATTCCTTTAATTTGGTTGAGCAATTACTTAGGATTCAGAAAGTTGTGCTTTTAAAGGGGCTTACACTCTAGTGGAGGAGGGGGAGAAAGAAGAAGACTACCAAGAGTAGCTTGCAGCAGGATGACTGAAGTACAGCAGACTTGAGCTAAAACAAGTATTGCTGGCATTCAGAAGTTCTGTCTTAATGAGAGCTGATTTTTGAACTTCAGAGCACTGCTGCTTTATAAACTCTTCTTAGACATTTTTTGCAACTGCAAGGTACTTTCAAGTCAGAAGAAACAGGGATCCATCTACAAGCAGGCTTAGATTAGGTAGCTGCTTCTAGCCATGCTTCATCATCACACCTTCACAATTTCATCTGACACCAATCTCATCACTTGGCTATAGCTCTGTTCTGGAAGATTTTTTTCCATTACAGAACCAAAAGAACTGCCTATCTAAAGGCAGAGCATTTCTGCAATAGGGAGGTGTTAGTGGTCAACTCTAAGGGAGGGGTCCACTCAGGCTGCCTCCCAGAATTCCGGGGTGGAAGGAGGGAAGGGATACAGGGGGAAGGCGGCATGGGGGCTGACTTACCTGTAAGAAGAATAAATGTTGCGTGATCTCCTGAACCAGCTCTTCCTCAGCATTCTCAGGATAAAACTTAGCCAGAAAGTGAAAGGTGACTGGTTCTTCCTTTGAAACATCGTGATCTAACACCTGCAGGATTGCAGAGCAAAAGATACACACATACACACACAGTGGTGCTCCCTATCCTGCGCTACCATCAAAGCCCATTTTGCAGGGAAGGTATAAATCTCCCCGCCCAACCCCCACACACCGTGTTATGTTCCTCACACTTCCCCAAGGCTATGATTCCATAGTTGGAAGCATTCACAGAGCCATCCATAACAAGGGGTAATATCCGCTTCACGAGGGGGTTCTGAACCAAATCAATCACTATTCCCAAGGGCTAAGTGGAGCTAAGATGAAGGCACCAATGTTCTCAAGGTCACAGAAACAGTTACAAGCTACAAATGTGTAACACAGAGCTACCGAGCACTCTCCTTTATGGAAGATGCCTCTAGCCCTTTCAGCTTTAGTTGTCTTTCAAACAGAGTCTCACATTAAGCTTGGGTGGGCCTGCACTGCAATCCTCCTGTATATGCTCCTCTTGTAAATGACATGACAGACTGAAGCCACCACATTCAGCTTTCTATAGGCTGAGATGGGGTGGGGGTGAGGGGTAAATCTCTCACAAACTTTTTGCCTAGGCTGGCCTGCAAGTAGAATTCTCCTGATCTGTGCCTCCCAAGTGGCTAGATTACAGGCATGTGATACCATCCCTAGTGAAGAATGAGGATAATCTGAAAATTATTTGAAGTAGTAGAATTATTTTTTATTTACTTTTTGCTGCCCACCTCTGCTATGCAGGTCCAGGTAATACAGCTTAGAGACAATGAACTAAATGTGTCTTCATTTAGATGCTAACTAAGCAACAGAAGCGAAGCAAAATGTGTCCATGTTTCGAAATGTGGCAACCCTTTGTTTCTAGGACCCTCCAGAGACGCCCCACAAAATGCTTGTAGCACAGTAAGTAAACCACTGCCTTTAATCTTCTAGCAATTCCATCCACCCCCTGAGAAGCTTGAACCATCTGCTCTCCAGAGTGAATTTCATTTTAGGACATAAACATGCCATGTGACGGGCTACCAGGCTCCATTAACATGTGTCGTAATTTATTTCCTTTGAGCAGCAGGTTCCATGGCTCCTCATGCCCCCAATCTAATATCCATTTGGCCACCACTCAGGTATGATTTAAAATTCACTTCACTGAGAATCATAAAAAGATGCAGAAAGTTTTGCTGTGTCTGATATATCTCTCTCCATGCCCCTGCTCAAATTCCAAGGGACAAGACCGAGGAGATGCAAAAAGAACAGGATTGAGGACGCCTTCGCTGACCCTGCCTTCTGTGGCACTTGGCCCATTTATGATCCCTGGGAATTAGCATTTGAAATTTACAACCAGCAGGGACTCCAACATGAAAGTGGAGGACTGTGTGCACATGTAAATATAATTGGAACACCTTGGCTTAGATTCTCACCGGCAAAACACAGCTTTGTTTATCAGGCTACGCAGTGGATGACTTTGGCAAAGGGCGGGCAGTTGTAGAGGTATCCACTTAGGGGTACCCTCTGCTGCCTTAGTGTCTTTTAGGAGAGGCTGGCGAAAGCACATGGCCCAGCTCTCCAGCTGTCGTTATGATAAGGCAAACAGGAAGATAGGAAAGTGTCTGTGGGATTATATGAACTCTTGAGAAGGTGGCTCCCCAAAGCCATATTCATTTTCAAGTCACCTTAAAATTATCAGGGGCCCAGACATTCTGGACTTCAGAAGATTCCGAGGACCAAAGGGGTACTGTTCCTATGTCACAACTTCTTTATTCTTTCAATCACATTAACGAGCAGTTGGGCCTTGGTATTCTTTTTTTTTTTTTTTAATATCTCAGAAACTTTATTTCGTTTTTTTGTTTTTGGTGTTTTTTTTTTTTTGGGTCAATCGTGGGGCCTGAACTCTGGGCCTGGGCGCTGTCCCTCATCTTTTCAGCTCAAGCCGAGCACTCTACCACTTGAGCCAAAGCTCCACTTCCGGGCCTTGGTATTCTTGTAAAGACTTGTAAAAATTTGGCTAGGAAGGTAACTCAGTAGTAGAGTGCTTGCCTCACACGCATGAGGCCCTGGGTTCGATTTCTTAGCACCACATAAGCAGAAAAACCAGAAGTGGTGCTATGGCTCAAGTGGTAGAGCACTAGCCTTGAGCTGAAGAGCTGAGGGACAGCGCCTAGACCCAGAGTTCAGACCCCACAACTGACCCAAAAAAAAAAAAAGGCTTGTCAAAATTCCCTGAAGAGGGGCTGGGAAGGTGGCCCAGTGGTAGAGCACTTGCCTTGCATGCCTGAGGCCCTGGGTTCGATTCCTCAGCACCACATAAGCAAAAAGAAAAAAGCCGGAAGTGGTGCTGTGGCTCAAGTGGTAGAGCGCTAGCCTTGAGCTGAAGAGCTGAGAGACAGCGCCCAGGCCCAGAGTTCAGGCCCCATGACCAGACCCAAAGAAAAAAAAATTCCCTGAAGAACACATACCCCAAGAGAATCTTTCAGAGATTTTTTTTTTTATGTATAAGAAGACAATAGTCATTTGTATCTATATAGCTTGATGAGTAATTTAATACACCAAAGGGCATAAAGCCAAAAAGAAACGGCAAAAAAAAAAGCCAGGGCAGATAAGGGTTTCATCCTGGTGACCTGACTGCTGCTTGTCTAGCAGAGCCTGCAGGGCGTGCTCTTTGCACAGCTTCATTCAGGAACTCACCCCCTTTCCTGCATGTCACGGCAGTAGATGAGCAAATAAACTAGGGGCTCTCCCTGGGGAAAAACCAGAAAGCACAAGCCCCATCCCACTGGTGTCACCGAGTTCAAGCCCACCTTCTTGTCCATTTTGAGCCAGGCCACGGTGTCCTTGATAGTGTACTGCAGTCCAAAGAACCAGGTTTCCCGAAGCCCCAGAGTCCGGCACACCAAATCAAACAGGTCCTTCCCTTTCCACTTCATCTGCAATGTAATAGACCAACAGGAAAGGACATTGGGAGCAAAATTCACAACATACTCGCTTACAAAACTGTTCCTGCACTCTCTACTGTCACGAAGATGGCTGATGAGCATTGAATTCCTAAGGAATTTTAAAGCTTCCCACACAAAACCATGAGTAGGAAAATACCAATTAGAGCTTAATAGCTTAATCACTGCACAGCGCACACAATACCTCCCTTGGACAGTTCTTTACAGATCTTACTTAATATCCCCAAAGCTGCTAATTTAGGAAACCTGGTAAATAAGCAGCCTCATTTAGGAGAGTGGAATCTCCCGAGTTAACCCAGGAAGATGGCCGGGTTCTGAAGCAGTAATTCCCTTGATGTTGTTGATTTTTTTAAATCATAATTCTGCCATTTGACAAAAAGGCTGGTGTTGTGTGTCTGTGTATGTTTAACCTAAAGTGTAGTTTTAATAAGTGTTTTTTTAATATAGGGGACTAAGTTGTAAGCAAAGTCATAATTCATGCAGAAAAAGAACCTAGAGAATCCAGATCATCCAGTGACAGATTTCCACTCTCACCATGCCTGGCTGGGCCAAAGGAGAAGCAATTTGCCCATGGTCACACAGAGCAATTCCCAACTTGCAGTATCCAAACACGGGTGACAAACAGACATCAGACATGAAGACTGTGGTGTGTTTATTCTATAGCCGCACTTTTAAAAGGACCGGAAGCAATGGCGGCTAAGCTAAACCCTTTCAAAGCTTATTCAATCTTGGAACTGAAAAAGCAAGTTCAGTATCTTAGTAGGGGAAGAGGATTCTGGGCAGCTTAGTAAATGTTGCCACCTAGTGGCTTTCAAGTTAAAGCACCGAAGATGGTCCAATACCACCCACTACTGCATGGTCCTTCTCCATTTCAACCATCCCCTAGTATCAGGGGGACATGCATGCAATTGTATCACATTTGACACAGCACAGCATAGCACATAAATGGTGACCACAGTAAGATCCATAATGAATTCAAATGCAAAGTTGCCTGACATGAAAATTGAGACCATTCAACTGCAGAACCCTTGTTCCAATGCCCACATTAGAAATCTCCACCCAGCCAGGTGCTGGTGGTTCACATATGTAATCCTAGCTACCGAGGAGGCTGAGATCTGAGGATCACGGTTCAAAGCCAGCCCAGGCAGGAAAGTTTATAAGACTCTCATCTCCAATTAACCACCAGAAAACCGGAAGTGGTACTGTGGCTCAAGCAGTAGAGCACTCGGCTTGAGCTGATGAAGAGCCGAGGGAGAGCGCCCAGGCCCAGAGTTCAAGACCCATGACTGACTGACAAAAAGAAAGCAAGAGAGAGAGAGGAAGAGAGAGAGAAAGGGAGGGAGGGAACAGAGGAAAAATGTATGGTCTAAAGATTTGAGTAAAAGCAAGAGGAAAAAATAGGGTAGACTCCTGATAGCCAGTGTGCTTTTTACTGGGGAATTTTCAAGTGGGCTGCCAGTTCTGGAGACAGACGCCAGGGTCGGCAGTGTGCTACCTAGTGCCCTACTACTGAGCAACAGCTCCAGCTCCAGGCCCTCTATTTTTAATAGATGCGAATGAACTGTGTGTTCTCTGTGGGCACTCGACAGGAGAGGCCATCGCTTCTCAGCATTCGCAGTCAAAGTCAGCAGCCCAGATGGAAGGACACCAAGGCTGCAGCAGACAAGTGGTTGAGGTGCACATCAGCCCTTGTCCTTCATTAAAGCATTTCTCCTGCCTGTCCTGCAGCCTTGGCCCCATCTGGAATAATACAAAGACTGATGTCTTTAGACTACTTTAGATAAAACAAGTTTGAGTGAGTGTGTGTGTGTGTGTGTGTTGAGTGTGTGTGTGTGGTGTGTGTGTGTGTGTGTGTGGTGTGTGTGTGTGTACTGCTACTAGGGCTTGAACTCAGGGCCTGGGTGCTATCCCCGAGTTGTTTTTTGTTTTTGTTTTGCTCAAGGCCAGTGCTCCATCACTTGAGCCACTTGAGCTCTACTTCTAGCTTTTTGGTGATTAATTGGAAATAAGAGTTGTAGGAACTTCCCCCTACCTGGGCTGGTTTTGAACCACAATTCTCAGATCTCAGACTTTTGAGTATTTAGGATGACAGGCATGAACCAACAGAGCCTAATCATAAGTTTGATATTTTAAAAGGAGGATCATCTTCCACCTTTTGTAAGGCTGAGTATGCTCACTTCCCTGTCTGACAATTGGACAATGGTGGGGTTTTTTGTTTTGTTTTGTTTTCTTTTCTTTTAATTCACAGCAGGTTTTAATTCCTATAGGCAGACTTCACTGAAGAAATGTTATTTTGGAAAACTGGAAGCTTCAGGATGCTGATTACCCTCTTGTCTATTTTAAGCCAGCACACAGTATATAAATTATAAATGCCTACCTCGCTACAAGATAATGTACCACTGAAGAACAGGCATTAACGTGGAAAAGTTAAACACCCCAGGGCCAAAGGATGAAGGTAATGATTCCCAGTCCACCATAACTCACGACCATGGCCAGGCCAGGCTTTGGCAGGAAGGGGCTGGCTGGCTGCAAGTGGGATGAGCAGCAAGTCGGGAGAAAAGCTGCCAAGGGAACCATGAGTAAATTCCTCAAACATAATATTGTATTAGTGCAATTTTCCTATATTCCTTTCTACTTGTTTTTAAAATGCAGATGTATCTTTGTTGAATGCAGAAAGGCAATGTCTTTGCCCCTATGGAGCTTACAATAAAGTGAGGAGGAGGGAAAGAATCCTCACTACTAAGAATGCCCTACTTAAGATTTTTCTTACCTACTTGGACTTTTAACTTTGGTGCAGAGAATCACAGGCTCTTAGTGTTAGAACTAAGCCTGAAGAACTATTGCAGACCCATCCCCATTTTGTACAAATAAATCACAGATTCTTTGGCAGTCCCTGGACTTTATGCTGATCTAAGATCTGCAAGTCCCCAGGTCCCTGGCTGCCCTTTCTCTGCTCTACGGTCTTCTGCTCTTTTTGCTCTCTACTTTGCCAGTAGGTGACCAGTGTCAGAAACAAAACCCCTTTTTTGAAGACTCAGACATGGCTCATTTATAACTGCTTGGATTAAATCCCGTGGCTTCCTATTTAGTCACACTCAGAGTACCAGCCAGTATCAGACACTGAGAACACAAAACAATGGCAGCAATGTGGGGCTGGGAAGGTGGCTCAGTGGTAGAGCGCTTACCTTGCAATGCATGAGGCCCTGAGTTTGATTCCTCAGCACCACATAAGCAAAAAGAAAAAAGCCGAAAGTGGTGCTGTGGCTCAAGTGGTAGAGTGCTAGCCTTGAGCGAAGAGCTGAGGGACAGCGCCCAGGCCCAGAGTTCAGGCCCCACAACTGGACCCCAAAAAAAAAAAAAAAACAATGGCAGCAATGTGCCCACAGGAGAAACAGGCAAGAACTCAGGACAGAGAAGACTGGAGAGACCCAGGGGAGAGCCTATGAGGGAGGGAAGAAAATGCATCTTCTAAAAAGTCATGACAGCTACAGGGAACCCCAAGTCCTTAGGTGGAGCAGAAAATGACAGTTGGGCTTGGACTGGGCATGGTGGGAACGAATGCCAGACCAGGCTGGACTTGAGCAAAAAGCCACAGAGGCTTTGAGGACTGGGGAAATGGAACAACACTCAGATCTGCACTCTGGACTCTCTCTTGACAACAGGAGGAGAATGAGCTGGAAGAAAGGAGCCTGGACCTGGAAGGGAGAAAGGAAACTATGCCAGCCATTTAAAAAAAGGGGGATGGAGGGGGTAGGAGATGCAGAGGGAAGGGGGAAAAGGAGGAGAGAAGAAGGAAAGAAACGGGGAGGGGGAGAGGGAGAGGGAAGAAAGGAGAGAGGAGGTAGAAAGGGGAGAGGGAGGGGCACAGAAGAAAGACAGCCTGAGAATAGAAAGAAGGCTGGTGCCTGAAGAGAGCCTAAAGGAGGAAGAATCAGGAGGATTCCTGCACTCTGGCTTCACATCAGGTGGTTCTACTAAGGGAAAGATGGAACAAGGAAAAACAGCAAACTGGGGGGAAGAAATGTGGGGGATAGATGACACATTAAATTACATAAGGCTAAATGAGATTAGTTACGCTGCCTGAAAAAAGCAGAGAGAGATGCCGTAATATATTGACCTCTTCCCGGAAAAAAGCAAAATAAGGTACAAATAAAATAGAATGCTCTGTCTTCAAGTAAGTAATAAGTTTCCTGGGGTTGGAGATGTGGCTCTGTTGGTAGTGGCAGCTGGTGAGCAAAAGCATCAGGTATCTAGTTCAGTCCCCATCTCAGACAAAAATAAATAAATAAAAAGTCCTCTGTTTGGTCAACTCTTCAACCTGCCGTCCCCTCCCTCTGCCCCGGCCTCCCCTCTCCTTCCCCCCCCCCCCCCCCCCCCCTGCCACACACACACCGTGCTTGGGGCCTGCTTGATCAAGGAAGATCATGGAATTTTTATCCTTCCTGTGTTTCTACGTCTTCACACACAAGAACTGTTGCTCAAAGTGGGGTGGGATTCAGGATCTCATGGAAAGGGGGGGTCTTGGGTTGTAGGGGGGGGCTTTTTGGTCCGAGCAGACTTGCCAGAACACAGCCCAGCTTGTCCTGTTTTCTCTCTGGTCCACTGCACTGTGCTGCTGCTGTGAAGTGATTCACTGTCATCTGAAGGTCTCCCTGGACCGTACGGGCAGCATTAGTCATCCTCCTCTTCCCCACAGTGCAGAAGGGGCGGCAAAGAGCTGCTGGCCAACACAACTGATCACACAACGTCAAAACTCAAGGCTCAGAGACCTGGAGCACAGTCAGTTCCCCACATCTACTCCTCCCACAAATACTTAGTGTCTAAGCCCACCAAAGGTGCAGAGGAGAAAAGGGGAGCAAGGGGCTGGGAAGGTGGCTCAGTGGTAGAGTGCTTGCCTTGCATGCATGAGGCCCTGGGTTTGATTCCTCAGCACCATATAAGCAGAAAAAGCTGAAAGTAACGCTGTGGCTCAA